ACTACAACTATTTTGACATTTCTATCAAATCTATTTGCCTTTTCTATTCCAAGCATTTTAGTTTTACATGCTTCTTCAAAGTCCCTCTGGAGAGAGAAAGTATGCTTCCACATTTAAATAATCCGAATTTAACAGCCTTGGAATTCTTAATTTTTGGTTTCGGGCTTGATACCACCTAGAGAGAACTCTGATAAAACAGAAGCAGCATGAATATCAAAACTTCACCCTGATAGAGAAACTGAGACATGCAGAGGCTGAATAGTTCATCAAAGGCTATAAAAACTAAGCAGTAGAGCCTAGATTTGAACTCAGGGGTTTTGATATGGGAGATCATGTTCTTGACCATAGGTTTTAAAGTAGAGTTTTTGAAGGAGACTATCAATAACTAATTAAGGAAATGCTATTTTTATAAAATTTTACTTTTATTAGATAAATTCTTTATCAATCCTACTCTGAGTCAGGTGTACCACAGGGCAATGGGGACACTAAGATGTAACTCACAGCCTAGTGGGAAGACAGGCCAAACTGATGTCATACTATGTGCCTAATAAATTTGGCCTAATAACTACACTGGTGGTGTCAAGACAAGAGGTTGTCATGAACAGGGAACAGAAACACCTAATCCAGCTAGAAGAGGTTATAAAGGCTTTCTAAAGGTCAGCTGAGCTGGAGTTAGCTGTCAGAGGGGGCTTGGGGACGTGAAGCACACTCCAGGCAGGGGGAGATAATGCAGGCAAAGTCATAATGGAGTTTAGCATGTTGAAGCATGGAATGCAAGGTGGAGATGACATTAAAGTAAAAAGGGATAGTCAGGGCTTAAACTTCAGAGGGACTCTGGATAATGGCAAAGAGTTTGGACTTAATCCCATGAGTGAAGGAAGAGCCAGTCAAGACTTATAAATAGGATAGTGACACAAACATGGACATATTTTAAATGGATCGTGGAAGTGGCAGGTAAGAAATGGATCTAAAGGTCTATCAGTCAAAATAAGCCAGATTGTGCTGTGATAATAACTCCAAATCTCAGTGAATTCATGCAATAAAGGATTATTTCTTAAATATCCTAAGTCTGAAGCTGGCTGGGCAGCTCTTCTCCGTCTGGTAGCTATACCATCTGGAATATGTATCCTTTCAGGTTCTGCACTGCAGGTTATAAGATGTTTGCATGGATTGGGACTAGAAGTAGATTTCATTAATTTTTCCCATATCTCATTGTCCAGGACCCTGCCACATGACTCAGTGTACCTGCAGGGTTCAGTCTTGTTTATAATCTACCAAATGCACCTATAAATTCTTACTGTATTGTTTGACAGAAAACATTGTTTATTAATTTATTCAATTCATTCAACACATGCTTTTTTGAGCACCTGCTACTGCCATGAGTCATAAGCACTGCCACTACCATGAGTAGCAGGGGTACAGCCTCGTTCATGTTTCTTCCCTGTGCATTAAACTCTTCCTTGGCTCTCCAGGGATGTACTGATGTGTTGCAAAGGGGAAAGGATTAGATTAAGTGAGGCAGAAAGTGCAACATGGGCCAGACCATGAGAGGCTTTATAGGCCACTGTAAGGACTTTGAATTTGACTTAATTAAGGGCCTTTAGAACATTCTGTGCATAAGAGTGCTTTAATCTGACTTACTTTTTAAAAGGATTATTCTGGCTGCTCTATTGAGAACAGACGTAAGGTGGTAGGTTGGAAGCATAGAGCTCTATTAGGAAGGTATGTGGTAATCCAAGTGACCAATGACAATGGTCTTGCTTGGACAAGGGTAGAAGCATGGAGCAGCTAGTGAAAAGTGCTCAGCCTTTACACTCATTTTGAAGTTAAGGTATTTAACTTTGAAGGTAAAATCATCATAATTTGAAGACAAGTCAGATGTGTGGTATGAGACAAAAACATCTTAACTTGAATACCCAGGAGAATAAAGTTGCAGACAACTGAGCGGAGATGAGCCTTAATCATTTGAATTATTCCTAAAGACTTCAGAAAGGTTAATATTCTAAATTATTCAGCTCCAGTGTGTGCTTCCTTTAGAATTTTATATGATAACAATTTTTTATAAAAAAGTTTTTTATTAGATTTAAAGCTTAACCCCAAGCATCCCCTACATTGACAAAATTTCATATAAAATCTGTAGATATATTTACTTAAAAAGAAAGCTAGTTAGTAAGAAAATTATGTAAATATTTTGTTTTAAAAGCCAAGTCAGGAAATATTAAATTACATTAGATTTATTTTGATATAATACACTTCATTTATTTTTTTTGTTAGGGGCATGTTTGCTTTACGGGAACTGCCAATGAGGCTCTCTTATAGAAATAAACTGTTTAATTTGTTTATTACTATAAACATTTATGTATTAGAAAGACACTGAATAAGGTATGCCATTTTACCTTGGTGGTTTGATTCAGCCACTGGATGCGAATTAGCAGCCCATGAGGTGACAAAGATCCTGTCTTGGGCCAAACTTTGGTCAGACTCTTCTCAGCTCTCTTTTTAACTAGACCTAACTTTTGAGCTTCCATTGCATTGTCAAATTTTAGCAAGAATCCTACTAAGTCAATTTAGCCAAAATCTCCCACTCTCAGCAACTGATCACCCTTTGATATCTGATCAGGTTCTCTTCCTCTACTACCACCCAGGTGATATCTGATCACCTTGGTCTGCCCTCAGCAAGAATCCTGTCATATCTGTTTATCCAGAATCCCCCCTTACCCCTGAATGTTATCTTTTAGTAACTGTCATCCAGTGACTTCCATCCCCCACCTCAGCTCCTTGGCTATAAATTCCCACTTTTCCTTGTAGTATTAGGAGTTGTGCCCAGTCTCTCTCTCATACTATAAAACCCCATTGTGGTAGCCTTCCTGTATGACTATCACAATACTCTTCTTTGAATAGTCTGCTTTACCATTCTTCAATGATTATCATGAATAATTTTTCTCCTTAATGGAGATCATATTTGAGCTGCATTTTGATGAAGGCACAGTGGGGAAAGGGCATTTTAGGCATATAGAACAAGATACATAAATGTAGGAATGTGAAAGAGGATGTCTGATTCATGTAAATTATAGAATTTAGGGCTCATGAGAGCAGACCAGTTTGGTTTGAGATTGAAGTAAGAAATTGAAGCTGGTAAAGTCTGGCAATATTGATTACAAAGTTATGCGTGGGTAACTTACATGGTATGATAAAAAGTTTCAATCTTATCCTTTAGGTAAAATAAAGACAATGGTGTTGAAAACATAGAAGAATTGCAAGAGCCTTGTGGGAGGAAGATAGAGAGTAGAGAACACACAAAGGGAAGCCATTAGGAAGTCACCCATAGAGAAAGCACAGGAGTAGACTAATTTAATCCCTAGAAATCCCAGAGAACCAAGTTTTTAAATTAGAGCATATCTATTAGGGTCGATAAGCTAAAATTATGGACAAGTATGTAGTTATATATTGTTTTGTTTATATAAAGTCAAACTCCAGCTTTAATTTTTTTTTCTCCTATTAGCCAAAGGAATCAGCGAGCTTACAATGATGTAGTACTATATGAATCCTAGCTTAAAATCCAATTCAGAAGAGTCCTACTTGCCTTCATCCGACACTTTATTTCTAGAATTTTCCTCACCCTAGTAACCAGAAAGTTCCATGGGTAATCACACAGTTTTCAATATTTAATGCAGCAACTGCATTCTTCAGGGAAGAAGGTAAGCAATAGATACATTTTTACAAGATATCCCTAAACACCAATTTTGTAGAAGTAATAGTAATATGTGTCATAGTGTGCATTAGAAAATACAACAAAAAGACACATTATAAAGAGGGAAGTATGTGAAATCCACAGAACAAAGGAGTAGTGTCCAGAATATATTTAGAATCTTCTACAAATTAATTAATAAAAGAGAAGCGAGCCAAGAGAAAAATTAGCAAAGGATTAACAGACAAGTCATAGAAGGTAAAACTCAATTGTTTACTGAACATATGTGAAAGATTTTCAAACTCCTCATTAGAACAATGTTCATCTCTAAAGAAGAAGGAAGGAAGGGGGACACAGTTGTGAAGAAGTACAAAGCAAAATGCCACTTTATATGTAAACATTACCTACCTTTAAACAATAAAGAGCAGAGACATAATACTAAATGTTAACATTTGGTTATCTACTGTGTTTCCCGGAAAATAAGAAAGGGTCTTATATTTATTTTTCCTCAAGAAGACACCCTAGGGCTTATTTTCAGGGGATGTGTTATTTTCCCCTCAAAGCCTCAGCTTGCAGCACGCACAGGATGGCCGGGACCTGACAGGGGAAGCCGACCTTGTTGGTGGGGCTGCCCGCACATTTCTGGTCACCTCTGGGATAGTAGCTGTCACGATGGGTCAGATGAGAAGGGCTGCATGGGTTGTGCAGATATGCTGCGTAGCCACGCCCATCACTAGGTCTTATTTTCGGGGTAGGGCTTATATTAAGCTAGGGCTTATTTTATGGGTAGGTCTTATTTTCGGGGAAACACGGTAGGTGGTAAGTATATGTGTGTTTGATTTGCTTTCTGTATTTTAGAAATATTCCTTAATAAATTAACCTATATAAAAATTTTACCACCTATTCTATAAAAATTTCTTCATCTATCACTTTTATGAGGTGAAGGCAGTGTAAATTAGAAGAACCTAGAAACAGTAGTGGGAATCCTAACATTTAGTCCCAAATATGCCACTTACCCAATGTGTGGCCTTGAACAAATCACTTAAATTCTCCTAAAACTGATTCCTCTGCTGAAAAACTTGAACAATAAGATCTTCCTTTACCATATAAAGTTATTATGGGGAGGGAATTAGTTCACATAAATTAAAGTGATATTCAAATGTGAAGAAAAAGTACGGAAATATTCTCAAATGTTCAGTTAATGTGAAATTAAATGAGCATACTTTCCCATTTACTTTCATTCTAAACTTATTGAAACAGACATTAGAATCAGAAAAGTAGAGATCATAAAAGACACACAGTTTTTTCTTACCGGGTCTATTAGCTGGGAATAGAGTTCATGGCAATTGTCAAAAATATACTTGTATGTAGAATCCAGGCAAGCCCTGACACAGTCCTTCACTACCGTGCTGGCCTTCGGGGGACTTTGCAGTTCCAGAACCTGATAGACAAATTATTATCTTAAATGCAACAATATAACATTGTAATCCAGTATAAACTACTTAAATCATATTCAATAAATGCTTTTAGTTGATCTTTCTATGTTTAAGAAATACACTCTTAGAATGTGGTTTTAAACGTGTAAAGATCCATTTTAGTTTTCTGATATAACAACTTATTGAAAATGATCATGGCTGTAAACATTCAAATGGAAACAAAGTGATCAGTTGCAACATCATTCATTCTATTCCGTCATTCAACAAATATCTATCACTTATTCTATGCTAGATAATGGTGATACAGCAATGAATGAAAGAAACAAAAATCTCTTTCCTCATGTGCCTAAATTCTAGAGATAATAAATAAAATAAATAAGTAAAATATATTTTTGGAAAAGAAAAATAAAGTAGAGGAGGGGTGAGAGGAAGTGTTGCAATGAAATAGAATTAATACAGAGGACAGCAATAGCAGATGAAGACAGAAAAACAACAGGATGGAATGGGGAAAATCACATGTAGACCACTGTAAGAACCTTAGCTTTGAGCAAGGTGGGAAGAAATTGGATGGTTGAGCAGAAGGGCAAAATAACTATCTTTTAAAGGTTCCCTTATACTGTCTTAAGGAGGGCTATGGAAAAGTAAAAAAAAAAAAAAAAAAAAAAAACTGGTTAAAAGAATAAAAAGAATAATGCAACAATTCAGTCTAAAGAAAATAATGCTTGGACCAAGGTGGTAGGACTAGAAATTGTTAGAAGGAATCATATTCTGGTAAATTTTAGAAGAAAGAGGTAACAGGGTTTGCTGATAGATTGGGTGATTGGTGTAAGAGAAAGAGAGGAGTCACATAAACTGCAAGATTTTATTTATCCTGAGCAACTGGTACAATGAAGGTGGCCTCAATTTAGATGGGAAGACTGTGTGTGGCTGAGACATCAGCAGCTCAGTTTAGGACAGCTTGAGATTAAGAAGCCTACTGGGCACCCAAGTAAATTTCAAGTAGACTTTTTGATAAATTAGTCTAAAGCAGTGTAAATGTTCTGGCTAGAGATATAAATTGGGACATTATTAGCTTACAGAAGAATACAAACAAACAGTACTAGATGAGTATGGATAGAGAAGAGAAGAAGTCAAAGAAATAACTCCTATGTAATTCTAACCCTATGACATCAGGCAAATGAGATAGAACAAATGAGATAAAGCAGCCAATGATATAAGAGGAAAATCAAACAAGAGGAATATCCTGGAATCTAGAGAGGAAGAGCTTTCTGGAGGAAAGAGTAATGAAATGTGTTAAACTCTGCTGAGCATTATAACACGAGGATCCATAACTGATCACTAGATTTAGAAAAGCGACAGCTGGGCATGGTGGTGCATGCCTGTAGTCTCAGCTACTTGGGAGGCTGAGGCAGGAGGATTGCTTGAGCCCAGGAGTTTGAGGTTGCTGTGGGCTAGGCTGACGCCACGGCACTCTAGCCTGGGCAATAGAGTAAGACTCTGTTTCAAAAAAAAAATGGAAAAGTGATGGTCATTGGTGACTTTGACAACATTATTTTTGGTGAAGGGAGGGGGGTAAAAGTCTGATTGAAGTAGGTTCAAAAAATAAGGGTGAATTTGAAGATTTAATATTTTAAGATTTACCATAAGGCTATAGTGATCAAGACAGTATTGTAGTGGTGAAAATATAGACAATTAAACAATATAGAGTTCAGAAATAGACTCAAACATATGTGGTCAATTGATTTTTTTACAGTGCTACAAAGGCAATTCAATGGAGAAAGGAAAATATTTTCAATAAATAGTGTTGGAACTATTGAACATAAATATGTAAAAAAAATTATCCTTGGCCCATACTTCAAAATTATATAAAACAAAAACAGTAACAAAAAAAGCCTCAGAATGCTATATAAAATATAGTCCCAAATATAAAAGGTAATATAAAAATTTTAAAAGAAACATAAGAATGGCTCTTTGTGATCTGGGTTTGGCCAAAAGCATTATTCATAATGGAAAAATTGATAAAGTAGACCAAAATTAAAAACTTTTGCTAGGCAAAAGGTGCTCTTAAGAGAATGAAAAAACAAGGAAAAACAAGTAGAAAATATTAGCAAATCATATATTTGACAAAAGACTTGTATCCAAAATATAAAAAACTCTCAAAATTCAACAATATTGTGTTCTTGAAAAATGCTTACAGAGTAGATTTTAAATGTTCTCACCACAAAAATGACAACTTTATGTACTAATGCATGTGTTAGTTAGAGTTAGACATTCCATAATGTATATATATTTCAAAACATGTTGTACACAATATATATAATTTCACCTGTCAGTTTTTAAAAAATATTTTAAAAACTCTTGACAAAAAAAAAACAAAAACAGGTTAATGAAAATGGGTAAAATCATTCAACATATTCTTTACAAAAGAAGATGTTCAGATGTTCAGCCCAAGGAAAGATGCTCAAAATTAATTTTTGGAGAAATAAAATGAAGACCACAGTAAGATACTTCATTCCAATTAGAATGAATAAAATAGATAGATAGACAGGTAGGTAGGTAGGTAGATAGGTAGGTAGGTAGGTAGGTAGGTAGGTAGGTAGATAGATAGATAGATAGATAGATAGATAGATAGATAGATAGATAGATAGATAGATAGAAAGAAAGGAAAACACCCAGAGCTTTATAAGAAGATGAAAAACAAATGGAACTCTCATACATTGCTGCTGTGGATTTCATCAAAAGAAAGTGAAAGCTTATGTTTATACTATAAATCTTTACATGACTATTTATAACAGTGTTATTTGTAATAACCCCAAATGGGTAACAACTCAAATATCTATCAATCAGTGAATGGATAAATATCCTATAGTACATACATAACAAAGAATTACTACTTATTAATAGCAATAAAAAGAAGTGAATTGTTGATGCTCTCCATAACACAGATTAATACCCAATGTGTCATGCTACATTGCGTACTATTTCATTTACATGATGTTCTGGAAAAGGCAAACCTACAGCTGGAGAACAAAGTAGTGGTTGTCAGTGTGTGGGCGAGGGGTTGACTACAAGGGAATTTTATAGGTTTACGGAGCTGTTCTGTGTCTTGCAGTGGTGATTATACAGCTAAACATTTGTCAGAACTAATAGAACTGTACAAGAGTGACTTACGCTTTCTACGATAAGAAAAAAAAGATAATTGGAGGAGGAAATTGTTCAAAAGATAATGGGAGGAAAGAAATGCACAGACGACTATTTTGAGTAGTTCTGCTATTAAAAGGAAAGATGAACTGGGTAGTAGAAGAAAATGAAGTCATTTATAAATAGTATTTTTGATATTGGGAAATTAATAGCATGTACTGCAGGGAAATTGATAATTCAGGAGAGTGGAAAGGATTGCTGGACCAATGTTTTAGTCCACAAGAGGAGATGAAATCAATTGCACAAGTGAAAGAGATGACCTTGTCTAGGATAGCAGATGCTCATCAATAGTAACAAAAAAGAAGGAAGAGTATATGGACACATGCATTAAGTACCTAGATGGAGTGGGCAGTGGGAACGTGTGGGTTCAGAGTTTGAGAACACTCTTCTGTCTTTCTTCCTTTTTTTTCAGTGAAATACGAAACAAAGTCATTAGCTAGTAGAGAAGATGGGGAAGGAGTAGTTGCAAATTTGAGGAGATTGTGTTTTAAAGCACTGTGGGGCTGGCTGAGGCACGGCCAGTTGTTCAACACTGTGCTAAACAACTCAGTGTCATTCCTCAATATCCTCAATGCCATTCCTCATCCTCAGTGTCAATAGCAGACATCACTTGTCAATCTCAGTCAACTTGATTGGGTCTCACCGTCATTTTCTGCACACTGCTCCAGCAGCTACTGCTGGTAGATCAGAACTAACATAAATTCTATGTATGCCAGTTACCCAGTTTAGCCTGATTTTAAACCAAATGAATTTTAATTAAACTTTAAAAAATCTAAATGACCATTGATATAGTATGGTTTGGTTTTCTGTCTCTCTTGCATTATAAAACATTTTAGAGTTTCTAATGAAATAAAAATCATGGGCAAATAAAAATAAAAAAAAATTCTTTCTTTTTTTTTCTGTCTAGGAACTTTCTGAATAATGATCATAATACTCTCTTTCAAAGAGTAAAAAATTTTAGCCTTTAGCTTGGCAAGTATGTTTTGGAAAGGCTTTACCTAAGTTGCATTCCTGGTCAAAATTATGATTGCAGAGAACTTGCTTTTAAAGCAAAAGAGACATATCTAAAAAGAAATGCCTGGATAGTTTGTTAGATAATAGCCAATTATACCAGTGGTGTAGGTGATCAAATATACTACATAGACACAGTATATTTGTCTAGGGCTGAAATGGAAGTTGCTAACATTGGGGGGTAAACTTTAAAAAGTCAGCTACTCTCCCTGCAGCAAAAAGTCAGCAAAGCATTTCAGTTAAAACTAAAATGAGAAGTGAACTCCGTATCCATTTACCATTCTTTGGGATTCTTACTTTAAGTGCCATGCCCACTTACTAGAGAGCTTTGTTTAAGATGGAATTAATTTGGAACTAAATTTGAGCCAAATGTATCAGAGTGTTTCAAGTGTCTGGGATACTCTCTCTCTTCAATGCACCTTATATTGGAAGATTCATTTAACTCAGGCAAAGACAGCACAGCTTAATCAATGGGGTTGACAAAGTACTTGATCAAAGGAGGGTAAAACAAGACATTGCCAGGAAGTGCATGTGTTCTACTTCATTCCAAGACAGTGAAATAAAATAAGATACCTTCATCCTAAAAAAGGTGATACTTGTTAGCAGGTCGACTGTTGATTTCAAGTCTTGCAGCCTTTCAGTATTGCTTGCAGGAAAGTTGTCCTGGTTAATTAGGAAACAGAAAATAGGTAAAGTTATCAGCATTAAACCTCCAGTGGAAAAATAAATTTACACTAGCTTCCTGTGAAAGAAAATGAAAAATAAACTGCATAAAAATTTAAAAATACTCCTAAAATATTCTTAAAATATCATAAAACATTGTAGAAAATAAACAACTTGGAAATGTTAACTTTTTAGTGTTAAAAAACCATATTCATATTTATCCTCACAACGCAATAAAAGATGCAAAACAATATCATTATTGCAATGCTATGATATTATTAAACCTTGTTCATAAAATAGTTTTGCTTCTAAAAGAAGGGAGTACAATATAAATTTGAAAATATTTTTGTAATTTATTTTCCCAAAATAGGTTCCATTTTTTAAAAAATAGTATGGAAGTTATACAAGTACTATATTTACTTTCTTTGGTGAGAAGTAGCACTTAAAGATACAGATGTCCAGAATTTTGAAGGAAAGGAAAGGTATAATTATGAAAATGTTTGAACTAAGAAACAATTTTAACAGTGAGAAACTTCTCACATTAACAAGCCTCCAGACTGGCTTTCTAAAGAGCCATCAGGAAAGCCACAATTAATTTCTAGACATACATGAACTAGAGCAGAATTGGGTCGCCTAAATAATGAGATGGCGAATGGGGTGGCCTCAAGGCCCTTCTTGCCCCCCCAAAAATCTTTTTCAATGACTGGACCATTAGTCCTCATCTCATGCTGGCCCAAGTTCCAACATGAAATGTGAATTTCACAAAATTTGGCATTATAATTTCCAGAAATATGCAATTAAGGCATTTGTCAAGAAAAGACTAATTAAAACTGAATGCATGAGAGATACATAGGTATAAATAAGATGTTTAGAATAAATTATTTAAAAATGTAAGATATAGAAGAGCATCTGTAGTTATGGTAACTAAAATTTGTAACTAAATTTTTTGTAACTAAGGTATTTTATAACTAAAATCATATGTGTGTATATTTATGTACTTATATACATGAGTATATTTTCGTGTGTGGATGTGTTTCACCTGGAGGTGAAATACAGAATTGTAGATAACAAACACTGGGCAGTTCTGAAAGAGGATACTGTACTCATGTAGAAGAGAGAAGCAAGCAGTAAGTCCCAGTAGGAATCTCAGAAATTGGAAAAATATCAGAAAAATATGTCAGTAATAAAGGGTGAGATTTAAAATGGGTACTGAGCCGGGCGCGGTGGCTCACGCCTGTAATCCTAGCTCTCTGGGAGGCCGAGGTGGGCGGATCGTTTGAGTTCAGGAGTTCGAAACCAACCTGAGCAAGAGCAAGACCCCGTCTCTACTATAAATAGAAAGAAATTAATTGGCCAACTAATATATATACAAAAAAATTAGCTGGGCATGGTGGCACATGCCTGTAGTCCCAGCTACTCGGGAGGCTGAGGCAGGAGGATTGCTTGAGCCCGGGAGTTTGAGGTTGCTGTGAGCTAGGCTGACGCCACGGCACTCACTCTAGCCTGGGCAACAAAGTGAGACTCTGTCTCAAAAAAAAAAAAAAAATAAAAATAAAATAAAATAAAATAAAATGAGTACTGGCCCACATGTCTACTGCATAAATTAGCTGAAGGTCACTAAATCTAATGGCTTTTTTAAAAAATTGTAAAATTAAAGCCACATGTGTGTGGTTGCACACACATATAGAGTATTACTGAAGGTTGATGTGAAGCAAAGTACCTGAATGACAAAGGAGATGTACTTGATTACTTCTAATGTGGCAGGATCAGTACTTTTACTTTTCTATTACTTAATGAGTAATTTTTATAATACGATTAAGAAATCACCTGGACCAAACACAACAGTTTACCTTTAAGCAATTCATTGTGTACATACCCTATACTTTGACAGGTCAATCCTTAAAGAGTTATGCAACTGGTCCAGTAGTTTTATGAATTTTTCCCTCTGTGCAAAGCAAACACAAAAGAGGAGAACGGAAATAAATGGCTATTCTAAAGCAGTTCTCACAACAATTTTATGAGCTATTGTCCCAATTTTATAGAAAGGAAAGATCAAAGAGGTCAGTGATTTGGCCAAGATCATGGCATAGCAGTGATTCAAACTCAGGTCTCTTTGACACCAAATCCATGCTCTTTTCAACAATTCATACTGCCTCTCTATGATAAATGAGACATGTATAATTGTTCTAACAAAGTACCTAGAAAGTTGTGTTCTGTAGAAACAGCTCAGACGAATGGCCTCTGTACTTCTTTATGTGTAATAACTCATTGCAATATAATGCATCAACAAGAGAAAATACAACCCATCCTTCTTTCTATTCCGGCACACCATGCCACCTCCCCAGAAAATAAATTAGTTTTTTAAACTTCTCCCCACCTCTAGAAGTGGGAACAGCTGTTATTTTTGTCAAAAACCAATTTGAAAAAGCATTTCCCTTTTGTAAGCAAATATAGACTTCATAACCCGAAAGGATCAATTTCTTTTAAAGGATGTTTATGCTTTAGCGATAAAAATAGTATAGAAATCAGGCCCCCCCAAAATGATGCTGCCTCCTTTTGATGCTGTCTCAGTGTTAGACTGTCCTCTTCACAGAAGTATGATACAATGGGGAGAACAGAGTTTTGCTAATAAGTATAAGGTTCAAGTTGTATGGATTAAATACAAACAAGAAAAAAACATTGAAGTCACACATACAAACCCTATAGATGTAGATATTCCACTATTCTAAGTCCAGGTTTTCTCATCAAAAATATTATGAAAATCAGTGGGGGGATGGAATATAATGACAAAAAATTGTCTCTTCCTACAGTAATATTCTGTAAACACCAAATTCCACTTTGGAATATGCTGATAAAAATGGAAACTTTTCCTAGTAGTTTCACATAGGAAGTGGATTTCTAGGGTATATGACTCTTATCCCTTGAAGTCACTGTCCTTATGGAGTGAGCTGAATATTAACAGGAGTTGATGAATTGTTCCTAAGTTGAAATTACAGTTTTCTGAGTAAATTGCCTTCGTATTTATACATCACTGAACAAAGTTTGAGTATCCCCTTTATGTTAACCCTTGCAGAGGTAATAAAAGATTGTAAGAATTGAAACTTGCCTTCTAGATTTTGTTAGGCAAGTCAAGACTCTCTGTGCCAATGAAGCTACTGAAAATACAGATGAGGTGAAGATCTTAGATTTTTCTCTGCCATTCTCCATCAGACCTTCTCTGGGGAGGAGGTAAGCCATGCTGTCCTTTATTAACTCTCCAACTCCCATCTTTGTGAGTTGGTAGCTCTCAATTAAAAGAGAACAAGAGAAGAGCTGCTACAATAACCAGTTTGGGCCACAGTAAAGTTAGTCATTTAAATGATTGTAAAAGTCAGTATGATTCATGGCATGTCTCTGGTTGCTTTGTCTGTCTGACCTCCACAACTGGTACAAATCTTCAAGACAATGGAAGTGACTGTGATCCACCATGCTGGCCCTCTTATACCTACTGGGGTGAACTATGTTGATTTTCTGCCTGATAGCCAATCTTTTGCTGTTCCTTTCTAATAGAACCTCATGGGTCAAATGTGCCCAGTATGAAATGCTTACCTTCCCAGATCTCTTTTCCTCCAGGGATGGCCAGGTAGCATGGTTTTGGTTAAATTGCTTATTAAAGGACATGGACTTAGTTACCATATCATCAATGAATTATTATTTGGGGAGATCCTAAGAGTGCTTGGCAGATAGTGTCTGTTATATTAGTGTTTGCCCTAGAATTCTTCGTTAAATATAACTTTCAGGCTTTCTTATTTTGCCCTTTGTGCTTCTCCCCTTTCCCCACCTTAAAATCTAATAGACCCTAGAAAACGGAGCCCTCATTTCATGCCCATAAGACGAAAAGCTAAACAAATGCTAAGAAAGGAGTTCCCATGCCCATCTCACCCCATCTGCCCACCCTTTTTAAAAATTACAATCCTGAGCAGCTATCCTAGCCCTGAATTTTTTACCTCTGGGCTTAGGTTACACCGAGGGAAAAAAGCAAAATCTTATTTACTCAAGAGTAGTTGAGTTTCTGTGTCATGCAGCTGAACAGAATTCTGACTGATACAAATCACACATTTGGTTTCTCTTCCTGGTCTTCAGCGCCCAGCTGAAAAATTTACATTCAAGGAAAATAGGAAACTGTGGAGAAAACTGCCGGGCTTGTTGTCACTGACTCTCTAACAATATCAGATGATGTGAAATTAAAAGTATGCCGCTGATTGAATTTTCATAGAGATTCTTTAAACAGCAGGACAGCTTGAAATTTAATTTTGTTTACTATATTATATTTAACTAGAGTGATATCACTTTTGCAAAGAAGTGGAGGCCTACTGCCTGTAGGGTATGATTTGAGGAACAACAAAAAACTGGCTGATTAAAAAACGTTTCCCCCAAGGGGCACGTCACAATATCCAAAACCACCACACCATTCAGGTTTTTGTATTAAATAAGGGCCACATATGTCTAGGGGGAGGCAAATTAATACTACTACTACTAAGTATTGTCAGTTATCAAAAATTTATGTTTAATTAATTGGTGAGAATAACGAGACCAGGGGTCAGCGAACTGTCTAGAAAGGGCTAGACGGGAAACATTTCTGACTTCCCAGACTCTGTCACAACTACTCAATCTGACCCTGTAGCACTATACCTGCCACAGACAATATGTAAACAAATGGGCATGGTTATTTTCCAATGAAACATTATTTATGTATACCGAAATTGAATTTTAGAAACCTTTTGTGTGTCACAAAATAATAGTCAATTTTATTTCAACATTTATAAATGTAAAAAACATTCTTAGCTTCTGAGCCTTATGAGACCAGTTGGCAAGCTGGATTTGGCTTATGGGAAGAGGTTGGGGCTTTTGATTGGGAGAGAAATGGTAGCCACCTGCTAAGTGCACTGTTAGGGCCAGGATTTTGGGAACTGTGGAAGGATAATTCTTATAAGGAATAGGTAGCAAAACCTCTGCATTACCCTCAGCTTCTCTCTTTAATTCCTTTTCTCTCAAAGTTTGGCTCCAACAGCAGAGGAGAATTTCACCAGAAGCTACTGTTGCTTAAGCTTCTTGGCCCTTATTTGCTTAGTGATCTAGGAGGAGGCCTAGCTATGTAATCATGTCATCTTAGGTTTTCGTAACATTTGTAGGAATAAGTTAAAAATTATTCTGATCTGGACATGCATATTTTTCCAAGATTGTAACAACAAAAAAGCAATTTATTAATAAAAGAGGCACATTTCAAAAAGAAGTAATGCATAGGTTATTATGATCATTTTTTGACATTTCAATTAATGTTAATCATACAAACATACTGGACACATGTGTACCACTCTTGTTGATTTGAGATGAATACAGATACCAACAGAAATACCACAAAATTATAAAACACTACTACAATGATGCTTCCAATGACAAACTAATTAATACATTTCATCAATTCAAAGGATAAAGAGTTCCTTCACAGGAAAACTTGAAAAGCACTGCAATGTTATAGTTCAATGATCAAGACACCCGAATGTTCTCTCAGCCTGACTGAGCTCTAGACAGGCTTCTTCCTGACTCTAGATCCTGACTTCTCCTTTATTAGAGCATTTTCTTTAGAAAGCTTATAATTGTTAAGTTCTTTCCCTGCCCCTTGATATGCAAATCTTTTAAAAAGCTTCTTGCCAGTTTTATAATCCAGGAAAGATTTCTGAAAGATTTGGGAGCTTTCCCTGTGAAATGTAATAACCAAGAGGAGAGCATCACTATGTCCCAGCCTTCTTGGGACAATAGGAGCCAAATTTTGACGGGCATCATTTAGCAAACACAGATGGCCGTCACAGAGAAGAAAGCGCAAACTCAGAATAACTCTGGTGTGCTGGACACTTCCCATTGGTCAACCTCCCTTCAGCATCTTCCTGTATTTTCCCTCTAATTCATTCGAGCCCTTATAAGCCCTCCTTCCTTTTGTTTTAGTGGAGTTCAAACTAAGCTCTGACCTCTCTCCCCTATTGCAATAGCCTTGAATAAAGTCAGCCTTGCCTGTTTAATTTTGCTGGGTGCAATTTTTGCTTTTATATCACACATGAAAGGTACATGAAAGATGTTTCCTCAAATTTCATAAAAATCACTAAAATAGATGAGGCTATGTGAAAGTAAAACAAACCTTTCTAAAGTATCAATTTATAAATTTTTATCAACTCTGCTAGACAAAAAAACTGAATTATATTTCTTTCCTTTCCATAAAAAAAATTTCAGAATTTTTGTCATATGAAGAAGTGAGCAAAGAATCTGTAGCCAAACATTATAGACAAAAATTATTACAGAGGTTTGTCAGGCAGTTAATTAATGAAAGTACCATGGTTTGTTCCCCTGGATTTTATCATGTTTATGCTGTTTGTCATAAATAGATATTAATTTTGTACATAATTTTCTAGTAAAGATTTTATGGTCCTAAAAGTTCTTGTCACTAGCTTGGTGGTATTTGAAAAGACAGTGGCATTGCCAACAGAGGCAGCCTCCTAGTTTTCTACCCTCTTGATTGCAAGAAAGCTTATAGTTTCTCTTGAAAATCAGTTTCACTGTGCTATTTTGAGAATTATTATGCAGGGTGCCTCCTCCAGTCCTTCAGACAAGATTATACAACAAGTAATTCCCTATATTAAATCCCTCTCTACTTAAAGTCACTAGGAGGGCTTGTATTACTGCAACTGAATCCTGTCTTACACACCTTCTCTCTCTCCCCTTTGCAACATTTCCTCTACACAGTGATCTTTCTAAAGCAGAAATTGTATCAGATTGTACCCTAAGCCTTAAGAATGAAGCTCAAACATCTTAGCATTAAAAACCTTCAACAGTCTAATATCAACCCAATAATCCAGTCTCCTCTTATACTTCCATCTTTTATTCTATCTGCCCTACTCAGCAGGTAGACTACTTTACACATACATTTTTTAACTTATTTTGCATTGTTACTTCTTATTTTTTTTTATTCAAACATCTTCCTAGGCCTATCATAGTTTTTCTACTTCTTCTGGACTTTGAAAATATTCTTCCCTAAGAGTGCTATTGCTTTGTCAAGCTTCCATGAGTCCCTGAAGAGAATCAACCATTTGCTCCTCCTCTACCTCAAAGCATTTATAAGAATAACCTCCTTTGGAACTTTCCACATTTTGAAAGTGATTTATGTTGTTTTTTTTTTACACATATTTATGTGCTTATTTCAGTAGAATATAAGCTTCAAAGAGTAACAGTCAACATTTATTTTCAGTCCTTCCATTATCTGCTGTAGTAGCTTACATGAAAAATCACATAAATATGTATTGAATGAACTAGTGGACAAATAAAAGAACATAAGTAAGGGTAAAAAATATGTATTAGCATATTTTGTTTTGCCCAATACTGGCTATGTCAAAAGGAGCATCTATGCTTGGGGGAAAAAAACAGAGCTAGAAAACAGCCATTTTACTAGTAATTCATTTGATATTTGTGTCTTAAGATAACTTACCAAATAAATTTCCTAAAGACATCTTCAAAATTAAAATACTGACTCCCACCTCATGGAATTTTCTTCCTTTCCAACGTGATCTACCCATGAGTGTCTTGAACATACACAGAGATATTTTATCCAATAAAGTTCTTAGATCTTGACTCCAAACAACATTTACACTCAATGATATACTGGTAAAATGGCTCTCTGAACACAAAAAACCTTGATTTTTAGCATTTACCAATTTCCATGATGTAAATACTTTGAACATTTGCAATTTCAAGGATGGCTGTGTTTAGCAACCACCTTGCAATATTCCTGAAAATTTAGCAGCCAGTTCTCATAAGCAGGTACAAGCCAGCTGTAGCATACCAATGTATTACAATTAATTTTCAACAATCGACTCCTAGAGCTACATCTTGGACCTGAGACTTCCCCTTTGAAATGTTAACTGAAATGAAAAGTTCTTACCACAAAACCTTCTGTCTCTGTCTCCCGCTCTCTCCCCCACTTCCTCTTTCTTTCTCTCTCTCCACCATACTTCTCATGGTGTCACTTATCAAACCTAGAACTCATGATGAATCATTTCAACTTTTCTCTTCAGAGCATCATTGCTGTATGAATTCACTTAACCTTCAGTCGCCTCCCTTATGCAAAATTTCAGCATCAGAATGCTGACAAAATTTGGGAAGATCTCACAGCCACATGAATAGCTATAAGAGCAAATTTATGGTGGCTAACATCAAATAATACCTTCAGCTTTACTAAGAATTCCTTTTACATGGCCCTGAAACATTTCTCTTTGTGTTCACCCCTCAGGGGCTAATCCAAACCTATACCACACTCCCCCACCTCAAACTTAGTATTCTCTTGAGGATTCTAATACTATTTCTTCAAATTTCTGAACAGAGCCTGTCCTTTCTCATTCTAAAGATCTCTTTTTATGTCCTCTTGCTGTACTTCCTTCTTCCTCCTCTGGGATATTGCTGGAACACTTATTCTCCCAACTGATAAATCTGCAAACACACTCTTGCAACTACCTCCTTTCCTAATACTATAAATATTTTTAAATTTAACTTATTAAGTATAAATATCCCTACTAAACAAGAGAGTAAAAATATAATCTTTGTACATGGCAAAAATCTCACTCCTAACCAATCTCTTGTTTTTCCTTCTCATTCAAGTTCCCTGAAAGAATAGTCTTTCCTCACCCACTTTCTTTTTTCAGATTTTTATTATAAAATTAATACAAATTTAATAGATAAAATGTTTAAACTTTAGTATAAAGATGAATATAAAAAAAATCAACAAAATATCAGCTGCAATCTTACCAGGTGGCTGTAGCAGCAGCATTTTAGCAAATTTCATTTCCATCCAGTCTTATTGCTAAATTTGTGTACATGTGCACATGCATGTTCAATATTGGAATTAGATTGTATATAGAGTTTTGTAGCACTCTCTTTCATTTATCATTATATCATAGTCATTGTTCAATCATATAAGTTCCTCTACAAAAACTCATTTTTAATGATTATAATTTAGTGACTAAATGAACCCCAATTTGTACAACTTTCCATCTATGGCATTCACTGAACAATCCCATGAAATCAGCCTCCAACTTCAACTCTTCTATAACTAATGCCCATCTACTTGCCAAATCTGATGGGCTCATTTTTTTCCTCATCTTACTTGAATTTTCTATAATTGACAATGATGTACACTTCTCCTCCCCAAACTTGCTTCTCTTGCCTTTTATAATATCACATTTTTATTATCATTTTCAGCCAACTTCTCTAACCATTTTCCTCCGCTAACTTTCCTTGCGACCCTTCTCTATAGCCAAGGCTTCTGTCCTTTTCACCTTATTCTTGAGCATTTTGCATTCACACCTTAATTTCAAATGACATTTTTACATTAAAAGGTCTGCATTTGTAAGAGGAGTTATGGTTTTATTTTCTTAAAGATTTGTCTGTTTTACAATTCTCACAGGTAAGAAATCTTTTTCCACTGGTTTATATTTTAGAGACTCAAAACGTCTGGGTAACACACCTTTGAGAAGGATAAAGAAAGTACCACGTAATTGTCACTAGGTCCCAAGTGATATAGTCAGGTGAATAAAAATTTGGGGCACCAAACATTACAATGTTAGATATGTTTAACTTAGCAAATAGCCTTATTTTCAACAGTTATAGAAAAGTATAGTCAAATTGACATACCAAATAACCAATGTAGTTTAAAGAAATATTCCTTTTCTCTCCATTCTATATTAAATTATATAATTTATAAAATGCAATTTGTTATAACCATGTGGCCAGTGAAACACTGAAATGTACTGAAATCAATCTGCTTTCTCTTCTTTGGTTCAGCATAAAGTAAAGGAGCACGCTATCTAATTTTCCTCCAGGTAATTTTAGCGTGGATATTAATCATATAAACACATCTTCTTTCTCAGAAGTTGTATAAGGTTGGCTTATTCTCCACAATGTACACACACAGACTATTAGAAACAAAACAATTTCATAACACAGAATTCTTTATGTTACAAGTAAATCCCAAGACAATGACTGCTATTACCAAGATGAGGTTTTTATAACAAAACTGTTCTATGATCTGGTATTTGGTCATAATAGTATTTGCTGAGGTAGCTAGAAGAATGTTTTTTTGGTCTCAGCTCAGGCAAAAGTCAATCTAACAGAAGCAGCTAATAGTGTATTGGTTATACTCTAGGTCAGGGGTCCTCAAACTTTCTAAACAGGGGGCCAGTTCACTGTCCCTCAGACCGTTGGAGGACCGTGGGAGAGTGCGGCGCGCATTCCACACATGCGCAGTGTGGGCCCGGGACAAGTTGGCTGCTAAGCAGGACAGGCAGCGGAGGCAAAAACACCCTGTGGGCCGGATAAATGTCCTAGGCGGGTGGCATGTGGCCCTCGGACCATAGTTTGAGGATGCCTGCTCTAAGTAATACAGGAGACACAAAAATCCTCATACCTTATAGAAGGACAGCATTTTTAACTTTTACAAATTGGCTTACCACCTTTTATCTCATTCTACCTTTTATCTCATTCATTTCAAATTTAAAAAAAAATGTTAGAATACAAATTATCATCTGAATTGAGCAGATTGAGAAAGTGAAGTTTGGATGACTGAACTGACTTCCTAAATTTGAATAAAAACTTAGCCTCTGTTAGTTCTCTTTTAATGGTATTTCATTGGATTTGTCATTACAAAGCAATTATTTTTTCCTTTGATTCATTCAAACTCGCCTCACATACCATGCACGTATTCTCTCTTTTAGAAGGAAAGAGTAAAAGAGAAAAAGTAAACACAGCAGCACAAATTTTTTTTTTTTCCATACTGGGTTTTCACCCTTAATCTACTTGCCTCAGTTGTTTCTATTCTATGTCACATACCCCCAAATTTGATTTCTAACAACATACTCAATAACAAACACCTACTCAGTGAACTAAATTGGAAGTGCAGTAGAAAAAAAGAGATCACTGTCCTACAATAGATCTTAGTTTCCTCCCTGAGAAAAAGGGGGGGGGGAGGAGAATAAAAATATTTGTCTTACAGAGTTATAGAACAGCACTACTTCCTACTCAGCTGCCCGGGCCAAAATCCTGGTAATCTTTTCAGTTACTGTTCTCCTTCCCTCACTGTTCATGTCCCCAAGACATCAAGCACTGTTGATTTTATGCCCTGAAAGACTCTGAATGTGTCCTTTCTTCTCCATCTGCACTAATTCTATGTTAGTTTTGACTCTCACCACTTCATTGAGATTACTCTTAATCCTACTTCCAGTCTTGCCAATTTCAATTTCATTATACTTGTAGAGAATGAATTCTGTGATGGGTGCAGCAGACAAATTTCTGACTCTTTAGAATCCTTACATTTCTACTTTTCACTGTGTTCTTGATGCCTTTGAAGACCTCAGATGGGCAGCCTAATTATGTAAAGATTGTTCTTTTAGGCTCTTTATACACCTGCTATTTTTTTACTTAGAGGATGTGCTGTTATCTATCAGTACCACTGGGAACCAACAGGAAGTGCAAATGGAGCCCAATAGGCGCCAGAGAAGACAGCCAAGCTCCTAGCGACCAGGAAACTATCTAAAAAATGGTACATCTGAAATGGTGAATCCCAGCATTCTCTTATAAGCTGTGTGTTTTTCCCCACTGGAAAAGGTCATTCCAGAAATGGAGATTCAATCTAATGAAGATTCCTATTGACTATCCACCATTTCACTGGAAACATTTCAAATAAATTTTGAGATGTGGCCCATTACACTATGAGATATACCCTAAAATGTACCTTCTGCAATAAGATGACAAGATTATCTTAAGTCCAAAGGCCCTTGAAATGTAACTCCCATAAGCTATTAGGAATTTTAAAGTTTACAAAATTATACTTACACCAAAGTTCGTAGCGGCAAATCGATCTGAGGCGGACACCTGAACGTTTGTAGAAACTGTTGTGTGCGCATAGAAAGCGTTTATATTAGCCAGCAAGGTGCTCATGACAGCAGGAACACCAGGGCACATGTATTTAGAAGACAGACATGAAAAGTGCCTGCAACACAAAAATCACAAAGTGCTTTTAAAACAGAAATAATTCACATAACAGCATAGCTTTTTAACATCAGCAATTAAGTAATTCTTCAACCACATCTATGAAAAGGAGAGAAAACTCCCACAGTCCCTAACTGAAAGAGAAAACAATTTCAGCTTTTTGAAAATTTTCATTCATAAATGTGAATTGGATTAATTAGAATGTAATTTGCCACAAGAACATGTATAACTTCTTTCAACGGTGTGAGTGTTGTGTGTGTACACAGCTAAAGTGAAATTTCCAGTGGAATTTAGTACTGTCAGAAATCACAAGAGTCTCTCTCTCTCTCCCCAAGACCCTGACTCAACTTATTTTAGTTCCTGAAATGCCATATTCCAGCCAAAATTTCCTTTGGCGTTTGTATTCTTCTCGCATTAATGTAGTAGCAAGAGGGCCTCTTCTCATTACACATTTGATTGAACAAGTCAAGTAACATCTGACTTGAGTCCAGTTTGTGAGTTTTGTTGTTGTTGTTATTTTCAGGAAGGAATACTTTCAACAAGAAATTCTGTTTTCTAAGCACTTTGTTAAAGACAGGATTTAATTAGGGAAACAGATGAATAGTGAGGACAGATTGAATTATACCAGCTTCATGCTTAAAGACCATTTCTTTTAAACCTTGAATAACAGTATCATTTAGAGCCATCGGAAGTATCAAGTGTTCGATTCTGTTATTTCCCACAAGGAAACCTATTTCATTTGAACTTTAACAAAAGACTTGAAAATTGAAAGCACGGCTTATGATAAAAGTGAAAGATAAAATATGCATGGAGGAAAGCAATTTTCAGTCTATAATCTGATCCTATTTTGCTCTCATATCTTAGTAATTTATCCTCCACCTAGCCATTTCTGAATTTTGTATTACTGAACACAAACATGGAATACACATACATAAATGCCCTGAGTGGTAACCCCCAAATAAATAGATGGTGGTCCTGATATTTGTGACTTGTCTTAGATCTCAACCAGGCTAGCTTTCCACCTAGCTTGTCATATTGGCCAACAACAGTAGGTTAAATTTTTATATATACATCTTTGAAAATCATGAATAAAAATTTATGCCATGAGAGTTCCGCGATTTGTGTAATTTAACCCTGGAATTAGATTATCAATGCTGATTTCAAGATAAACAGTATAAGTTTTGAATTTATTATATGCTAAATTGATTATAATTAATTCATATCTATTAAGAATCTCACAAATGAATATAAAGGTATTAAAATAGAAATTTACAAAAACCTGGAGATATGCTATACCATCTTTTTTCAACAATTCACAAGTAATTAGATTTATTAGGCTCAAATCACAGGTTAAAGTTATGGAACATGCAGTACCTAAATACAGTGGTGTGGGAGATAGCAAACAGAAAATATACATTCTGAAGGGGAAAAGAGAATCATCATAAACAATTGTCAAAATAAACTGTTAAGAAACTCAAAGACTAGTGTTTTATTACCTTGAGCCTGCATTGTCAATTTAAAGGGATACTGGCAGTCACCAGACTGAATAATCTTATTCTTGGTCTTAAAAAGGGATTAGAGTCCTCATACTGTAGTCGTGTTACTCAGGCTTTACTTCTTTTAGCTGCTACCCTGTGACTGGTGCCTGATTAAGACAGCAGCAATAGCTTAGCAGTTACTTCAAGCATAAATAATAGAGAAAATGGTAATAACCTACATAAGGCATTCATAGTGTGATTTTCATAAGTGAACTGGAAAGATTTATGTTGAAAATGACAATTTTTTAAATACAACCTTAAAGGTACAGGCAACAAAACCAAAAATAGACAAACGCAATTGCATCAAACTAAAAAGTGTCTGCACAGCAAAGAAAACAATTAATGGAGTAAAGAGACAACCTACAGAATGAGAGAAAGTATTTGCAAGCTGTACATCTGAAAAGGGGTTAATATCCAAAATATATAAGAAACTGAAAAAACTCAACAACAAGAAAACAAATAACCAGATTAAAAAATGGACCAAAAAAATCTAAATATATATATATTTCATAAGAAGATATACAAATGGCCAAATAAAAAATGCTCAACATCACTTGTCATCAGGGAAATGCAAATTAAAACCACAATAAAATATCACTGTACTCCTGCTAGAATGGCTATTATCAAAAAGACAAAAGATAACAAATGTTTGTGAGGAGGTAGAGAAAAGGGAACCATTCTCACTGTTGGTAGTAATGTATAATAAATTAGTACAGTCCTTATAGAAAACAGGATAAAATTTCCTCAAAAAATTAGTTAGAGGCCATTATCTTAATTGAGATTAACTCAGAAACAGAAATAAGAAAACACTGCATGTTCTCACTTATAAGTAGGAGTTACATAATAATTACCTATAGACACACAGAGTGAAATAAATAGACATTGGAGACTCAGAAGGGCAGGGCATGAGGTGGGAGAGTGGTATGGGTTGTGAAATTATGTACACTAACTGTTGAGGGTTACACAAAAAGCCCAGACTTCACATATATATGCAATATAACCATGTAGCAAATCTGCACATATACCCCAGAAATCAATAAAAAAAATAATAAGTTAAAAAAATAAACATACATTAAAAAAGAAAAAGACATAATTATTGAACTCTATGATCACTATTTATAAGCCATCTGAGGGAAACAAGAGTGGCATATGGGATGACTGGAATATAAAAAAAAATCAAGATTTGCTTATTTTATGTTCTGAGTTGGTTTAGCCAATATCTTGATGATGAAAATGCCCTAAGAAATTGTGGCTTTGGGAACCCACAGCAAAGTTTCACAACCAAAATGAAAAGTTTAACAAATAATTTGTAGGTTTATATGAAAATGTATATATAAGAAAAGCCATGTAAATAAATGCAACTTTGAGTTATCTGAATTAATACAATCTTTGCTATGCACTTATCATGAATGCAAATATTTATTATTCATAGGAAATTTAGAAGATCAGTGAGGTCAAACATCTGTTCCTATAGACTTTCTCTTTAAAATAATTTGAATTTATAGCCACATAGTAATTGTAATACTTTCTTTTATCAAAGTGAGTTAGAGTTAATATTAAAATTGATTCTAGGATTTTCTGTTTAATCTTTAATCTGTTTTATTTTTTTTCATTAAGCCATCTGGTCAGAGTCCTCTCCCCTTATTGACTACATAGGTACTTTATTCCTGGCACCTTTCTTAGGAGTAGGGATCTGGAGTTGATGAAAACATGGTCATGTTGTAAAACATGCATACTCGTAATTGAGAGGCACGTGCATTAAATCTTAATTTTGTCATACTGCAGAAAGTGCTATTATGGAGTCAGCTAAAAAGGCTTAAGTGGGTCGTAGGGTAGAAGAGTGAGGCCTGGAGGTGCAGGGCAAAGCTCCAAAGGCCGAGTTCAGTTCACTAGTGGTGAAGAGAGAAGAAATCAGAGGGAAATGTCTGAGCCAAGGCCTAGAGGACAAGATTGAGACAATGATTGTGACAGATGAAGAGTTTAGTCTTCCTAGAAGTTGGCTCAGCAAACATTACTGAACAAGTATGAATGGCAGATTCTGTATAAGCTTTGGGCATACAGTAGTGATCTACTTATAGACTAGTGGGGGAATCAGCCCCACAAGAAATTGAATGCAATTATGAGAAAGTCATGAAAAAGGCACAGCAGAGTGCTGCAAGGACACTGGGTTACAGGGTGTATATCACAGACTTGTAGAGAAGGGCCAGGGAAGACGTCTGGAGACGAGGCTAGACTAAGAGGCAAAGAATGGCTAGGATCACAGCCAAGCCAAGCATAGGGCTCAGTATCACTGCTAGATAAAGAATGTGGTGCAGAGGATTAGCAAAGTACAAATCAAGATACAATAAAAATATTGTGTACAGTGGACTCTAACAATTTTAGGCTGGTAGAGCCCAGATTTGCAGGCGAATATTCCAGAACTGGTATGGCCTGAGATAAGGCTGGGGGGTGTTAGAGAATCTTGTGCAATATGTTAGGTAAGTTAGACCTATTCTATAGGTCAAAAGATTTTTCAAACAAAAGTCAAAATCTTACAGTGTAAACATAAGTAAAAAAAAAAATGTACAAGGAATTCTAACTTTTCTACATGGAGTAGGAAGTGAAAATCAACAGATCTGTATTTAAAATACACTAATTTGGGTGGAAGGAGCTTGTGAGGCTAAGAAGGGGAGAGATGATAAGTGAACTAGGGCGGTAGTGTGGAAATGGGGAGGAGAGAATGGATTTGAGAACTATATAAACGGTCAGGACTTGTACTTGATAAGGAATAAGGGGTAGGGAAGAGAAAAGGTTAAATTTCCAAGGGTCTAGTTTGGGTGGCTGGATGGGTGGTGCTTTTGAAAGCGAGACTCTGTCTCAAAAAAAAAAAAAAAAAAAGAATTTGAAGCAGGGAATGATGTCAAGTCTGAGCTTAAGGTGTTTATAAAGTTTCCATATTAAGAATTTTATTGGTTTTGGGGATCATCAGCATGAACCACGAGAAGTCATGAGAAAGGATAAGACAGTCCAGGCTGATGAGAAGTGTTAGAGAACAGAACCTGGGAAACACCAATATAAAAGGAACTGGTGGAAGAGGAAGAAAAAGTAAATTCTATGGCTGAGAGCAAATAAAAAAAAAAAAAAAAAAAACAACCAGATAGGGAAAAGGAAAGCCAGGAAAGTAGAATCAGGGGAAATCATGATGATTGATAACTGTTAAGTGCAGTATGAGTCTTATAAAATAAGGACAGAAAAGAAGCTATTGGACTTGACAAATAAACATCCCTGTGATCTTAGCAAGATCAATGTTAGTAGAATGACAGGAATTTGCACTAAGAGGAAATAAGATGGAAAGTGGCCAGGGCATGACCAAGTTAAAGTAGGTCAGAGCCAGATTTTGATTGGTACAGTATGCAGCTAAGGAGTTCTAACTTTCTAATGTGGACTATATTGAGTCACCTGAGATTTTTGCTGGGGGAACTAG